TACACAAACTGTGCTTCTCAGATAAAGAAAAGAAATTTTGAAATATCCATGCTGATATAACTGTGGCAATATATGCTATGGTTTGTGATTGTGAAAACTTCAGTGAGAATACAGATAATTTTTGCCCCATTCTCTAGTGAAAGGCCTTTCTTGTGGAGTCCTCCTCTCCATTAGACAGCAATTTTTGTTAAAAACCAGCTAGTGCTGAATGCCTAAGAGACCACTGGCTTTTACAATCTCCCTGCTCATCTAATCCACTTTTTGTGTTTCCTGTGTCTGAATCAGTGGTGAGAAATGAAATTGCACATTATATTTTTTTCAGTCATGATCAATGATTTTGAAGTTTATATCAGTGACTAAATTTAATTTCCTGATGTATCATCATGAAGTGATGGTATTGAGCACGGAAGTTAAAATGACCCAATAACCTCCTTTCTCAATATAAAAAATAAAGATAAATAGTGGAAATACAGTGTTGGGTTTTTTTGCTAATTTAGTAGTAGTTTTGTCTTAAATTTAGACAGTGATATTTTCTAGAGTCATATTTATTAAGTTTTCTGTACTGTGAGCTGCCCTGCAAAAAATTCTCCAGGTTCTCAAGGCTAGGTGGTGGTGAAGGACTGAAGCTGAGCCATCCAACCTCGAGGCTCCCTTGAGAGAACACCCGGATGATCGGCTCCTGCCTCTCAGCACCAAACAGGCCCAGCTGCCCAGATTTCACAGTGCTGGGCAAACATAACCATCATGGTTTTGTTGCTCTTGAGAGCTCAGATGGCAAAAGCCTTGATTGTCAACAGCAAAACCCTCTCTCTTGCTATCAACAATGCAGGGCAGCTTCATGCATTGCTTTCCCTCTTCATTATCTGCAGATACTCCGATGTCTAAAAGCAAAAAGAAGAATAGGTTTCAGTTGCTAAACCAAGATATCAACAGCAAAACACTATTTACTTTGCAGGGTTGAACCTGTGTCTTTATGAAGTAAGAAATAATTGAATTAAGTTTCTCAGTGGTCTATTAATTTGTGATTCTGATTAATAAAATGTACTTTCTTGAAGCTGTCTCTTCTTCCACTAGATATGTTTTTGAATTTTGAAAAAGAGCATTTTGAATTTTGCTTTTCTTTTCCAGTACTACTGTCATATCTTTTTTTCTGTCAGATCAAGGCTTACATGGCTCACTGCATCTATGCATAACAAAAATTTGATTTATAATTCCTGTGAAATTTTCTATAGCTCAGAACCAGCACTTTTTGAAAATGTATTCTGTAAGGACTTGTTTAGAATAGGTGATTTTCTCTGAAAGGTAACCTTAGCATTGCCCTGGCCTTTATGACTTTGACTTGGAAATTACTATTGCAGAGTGCAGAGAGCATGCTTTCCTCAAAAATATTTTCTTAAAATGCTGTGACAGCCTCAGCAGCAGCTATTTTTGGACCATTTCATTTAAAATTAATCACTTGTAGAATCTTCAGCAAGTACATTTCGCAAAGAACATGACTGAGTCTTTTTTGTTTGTATATGAATATAGATGTGTTTTTGCCTATTTCTTTAAAGAAGATTAAAGTCTGTCTTTTTTTTGAACTTGAGTAAGATCTTGTGAATTTCATTGCCTGTATCAGGATAGGTGCAGGCATTCAAGGAATCTCACTCTTGGCTTTCAGGTTCTAAGTCTAAAAAACTTCCTTTTTTCAACTCTTTTCTACTTTTGCTAGCTTTAAGATATTATTAAAATTATTGCTTTGCCTTGTCCAATTTTTTTTTTCTTTATAAATTGGCATGACAGCTGAAGGTTTTTCTAGGATTTCAAAATTCAGTCGGCAGTTTGACTGAAGTTTTCTGCACTTTGCAAATCTAATAGCCAACTTGCCTTTTTTGCTGCTTGCTGGAAGTGAGACAGGGAGACCTGGAGAACTTGAGAATCTGCTTTGACAATGCTATAGCTGGGTCTTTGATATCACACATTAAACAGTATACAGAAACTGAGTATCTGGCACAGCAAACAGTTTCTATTTTGGATTGTTGAAATTTTCCTTTTCAGGTGAGTCCAATACCAAGGCAGTGGCTTCCATGAAATTTATGTCATCTGACTAGCTTGTCTTTTTGCTAGATTTCTGGTGATAACACAGAATCAGGCTTGAAGGTTAAAGATTTTTTATTCTATAAGTATTACTTCTTGTTTACAAATAATGAAGTTTATAGTCTTGAATCATAACTCCTATAGATGTGAAGTGTCATGTATGAAAACTGTCATGAATTTACTGGTCAGATTTTTTTCAAAGCTCCATTCACAGGAAGTATTATTGTCCTGTTTTCACCTGTTTTGCTGCCTTGTTTGTTGTTTTTTTTTTTTTTCCCGAGATAAGAAATTAGAGTAATGGTTTTGCTTTTAGAAACACATTTGCATAAGTAATAAACCTTAGAAGAGGGCACAGGAATAATTAAGGGAAACAGTATTGTTGATTAGATGTTAAAACTAGTAGCTACAAAAACACCCAGCCAACTCTACAAGTAAATACCTTTATTATTTTAGGACTAGAGTTGGCCCCAAGATCTCCCAAAGGAATAGGAACTGATGCATTTCTCACTTGCCATATGACAAATTGCAAGTTTGTTTTGCTTCAATAGCCTTTACTCTAGAAGGAGAGTGTTGATACTGCTATTTACTCATCTGTCATGGAAGCCATACCTCTGAAATCATCAGTGTGTTAGAAAGCAACAGCTAGCTTAAACTCTGTCCAGGCTTTCATGTGCCAGGGCAATGGCTTCGGGGTAAAGTGTGAATAAAGCATTAATGAACTTTCATAATCAGATGGTGCCATTTTCAAGAAAGTAGATTTCCCACTATTATTTATAATAAGCCAATGGACACTGGAACATATGGAGGTGAAATTTCTGATGTGCAGACCATGTGTACTCAAATGTGAGGCCAGGAGCTGAGGACTGAGGAATACAGCATGTCACTGTAAGCGTTTTCGAAAGAGGCAAAATGGAAAAAGTGTTTGAAGGCGAGATGAAAATCATAGAAAACTTCTTCTCATATGGTACCAGAGAGATTTGAAAGAAGACAAAGTTAAAAATCAGTTTTCAAAATGTCATTTTGTTTTTCTAATTTTTTTCTTTGATCTTTGAAGATTTAGGAAAATATTTAGGGCTGACTAACTTCTCTAGTCAGCTGGTAGAAAAATATAGCTATGCTTGGAACTGCTTCATTGAGGTTTATGAAGTTTCATCTTATATTAAACTAAAATTCGTCTTTCAGTGTCAACCTTGTAAATTTCATATGTACAAAAAAAGGATTAAAATTGTATTTAAAAAAATAAAATATTTTTGAGGTAGGAATATCTGTCGAAACATTTTGTATACCTCCAACAGCATGCAAAGGTAAATTCCCTCATTTAAGGAATACAGCCATGTAAATATTATGAGAAACTCTGCCACTGCAGTTTAAAATCTCTCAAGATTTAGACATATAACATAGCAATGAAAAATGCTTGCTCTGGACATGGTTGTTAAGTCTCTAGATATTTTTACTGCTATGTAATCGAGTTTGTAATGCATGCACACATGGAAAGCTATGATATAATCAATGAGGCTTTCTAAAACGCATGATAAAGCTATTCACTAAGTGTAATAGAATAAAAGCTAGAAGGAGAAGCAAATTTCCCCTTCTTTTCTGAAAATGAACTGTTTTCATTGCCTTAAGGAAAGCAAAGAAAATGATGCAGTATGTAAAATACAGGAAGAAATTGACTCTATGGAGTGACAGGGCAAATATACTTCACATTCTAATTTTATATGCTATAGTGCATTCAAGAGATTTTATTGGTTTGATTTGGTTTATATTTGTGTAAGTTGTATAGGTTTTTATTATTGTTTTAAATTTAAGGTTTGTAAAAGAGTTTTGTTATTATGCTTGGTGGGAAATGGATGAGTAACTTAAATATTGGTTCTATAAGGAAATATGTGACATCTCTATTACATTGCTTGTCTGAACTGCAGATATCATGAAATATGAAGAGCATAGATGTAACATCCCTCAGTGTTTCACCCATTTTCCCTCTAAACCAGTTTGATTATTTTAAGTTGCTCAAATTACGAATGTGGGGGGCTTTTTTTTGGACTTTTTTGTTGGGTGGGGTGGGTTTTTTTTGTTTTTTTTTTTTTTTTTTTTTTGTCTGCAGCAATGTTTCATAATTCATTTTGCAAATCACAGTGAGTAAAGTTCAACTGTAGCTTTCTATCTGAAATACAAGGCTGAGTTCAGCTTGTGGCATGAAGTACAAAGTGTGATAGAAGTGCAATTGATAGTAGTGCATGCCCAAGAGGAGCAGATGGGTTGGGAATTAGGAGGTGAGGTTGGAAGGATACTCAGTGTGAAAGGCAGGAAGAAATCTGGTATCAAAGGTGTTAGGAGGTAAGCAATAGCATGGGATCTTAAAATAAGGCAGGAAATTAAATACAAAGGAAAAGATATCCAATAAATGAATGGATAGAGAGAGCAAGGGAGACTGGAGTGGTAAGGAAAGCACTTCAGCACCGAGGGAAATATGAATTTTGTCAAGAGCTTAGCCATGAGGTGGAATTTGATATCCTGGTAGTCCATATGTAGGTAACTTTGCCTTTACTGGTAAACTAATTTTTAAGGGGTGGGGGCTGGGGTGCACAGGGAGTGGGGAAACTTTAATTAATAAAGTGTTTTTCTATGTGCATTTTGCAGTAGTATAATTTTTAAAATGAAGATTACTATTGCACACTTAATGCACTTCTCTTACTTTTTGTAAGTCTCAGCCTAAAGAAAGAAGTTCTACGTTCCACTGCTAAAACAAAGCTAAAAAAAAGAAACTAAACTAAAATAGAATGACCAGTGGTTTTTTTTCTAGACAGACTGAGCAAAAAATGTACATCTCTTTCATGGAAGAACAATATGAACTGCCTTCAGGGATGTGAAGAATAGTGAGAGAAAACTTACTAATCTATAAATGCCTTTTCTTTTGCTCCTAGGTTCAGATATTGTTCAATGGTTAACGAAGAACTTATCGATAGAAGACCCAGGTAATTTCTCTTGTTTTCTCCTCTTCAAATTCTAGTTTGTTTTTTCAAAATTGTTGGATCTGACTTTGTTTTCTGCTGCGGTGGGAATGCCAAGACACCACATTGGATCAATACAATTTCAATAGCTAAACAGACTTAAAATCTTAGAAACCTATACTAACATACTGAGGATTTTGATTATCCATTTTATTGCAGCAGGTATCAGGAAACAATATGAGAGTGATAATGATAGTTCTTTGGTAGAAAATGTGTTTGAGTGCATGAGGAATTTACTCAGTATTATGCTAAATAGTTTGTTAAATACAAGCTCTTTTCTTACTGAATTTTTCAATACACAAAAAATAAATAGAACTATTAAAATACATTATTGCACTGTTAACAAAAGCTAATCTTAAATTTGGACATTTCTATAGCATCTTAAATGGAAAATGAAATTCAAATAAAATCCCTGAAATGAGGAAATTAGGATGAACAGTTGATTGCTTGATCAGCTGGGTTGCAACATGAAAGTAAGGGTTTGGTTCCAAACTCTGCCTTGGTATCTTGTATGCCCAGCAGGAAACACAATTTTGTTATTGTATTTAGCTGTTTTTTATTTCCTGGATTTACAAGAATCTAGTTACCTGATCAGAAATTTTCCATAAAGGAATGATTTTTAGTAGAAAATGCTGAATTGTAGAAATAAGATACCACATGGAGGTTCCCATTTTCTTTTGGTATGAGGGAAAAATAATCGTCCTTCTTTAAAAATTATCAGAATTTATTAAAAATTGGGTTTTTTCTTGCTTTCTTTCGGTTGGTGGGTTTTTTTGCATTTTTGGGAGTAATTTTTTTCTTTATTTTTAAAATGTGTTTTTCTGTCAAATTAGAACTCAAAGTATGATGGTCGCAGAAAGCAAAATCACTGTATTTAAAATTGCGACTTGAGCAACGAAGAACTAACAATACATAATCTGTTATTTGGAAGTAGTCAGTTCACAACATATTGACATGCTATATGAGAGAGATGACTACGTTTTTAGCTAACTTTGAACAGTGTTGCATGCTTGCTTCCTGGAGAAAATGTGGAGGCTTCGCGTGACCTAAGTGTGATATTGCATTTCTCAGTTGTCAGCTACAAACCACTCACCTATCTGTATTTAAAAGGGTTGAAAGATTTTTAGGCTGCGTTTATTTGACATGGAAGCTTAACCTTTATTTGTCGAACCAGAACTGCAATACTGGAATAGCTTGTCATTCAGATTACCTGCTTGTTGCAAAATTTGGAATAGAAAAAGCTTCTGCTAAACAGAAAACATGTCTCCTTGGTTCCTTGTGTTCTTATCCAATTAAAATTAAACAAACACACAAACTACTAACACATGTAACCAAAACACCACAGTAATTTTACTGAAGCTGAGTTTTATCCTCTCAGATTACATGGATGGAAAAAAACCTACCCACAATGACAAAAATGTCTTATGTATTTTGGTCCTAGTCCAAAGTCAGCTATCTGGAGCTGGTTAAATTCTGATCTTCAGAAAACAAATAGCCCTAAATGCTTCCTTTGGGTAATGTTCAGAATTGCCAGATGACAGTGAACTTGACAGATGGTGAGCAAGAACTTTTCACATGACAGAACTTCTGAAAATGTTCTGTTTTTTCAAAATCCGTAAGTGTCTTGCTTTTCATTTCATTTCTGGACAAGTCAATCTAGAACCTCATGTGAAAAAGCCCTTAATTTCTGCAATCTCTTGTCACTGTAATTTGGATTTCCAGTGTCTTCTGATCGCTTTTTACCTGTGTATCAGGTTTAACTCAGTTGTCTTTTAAAACTACCCTGTAGGGTCCTGCTACAAATCACTTGTGAAGCTCTGCAGTTTTGTGATGCAGAAATAAATAATGCCTTACTTTGCACTGAAAATTGTCATCTCTGTCTAAATCTGGTATCAGCCACGTACCTGGAAGAACAACATAAGGTAGATTGGACAGCATATTTTAAGAGTATTTTCTACTCTGTCCAGAAAAATGTAAGGACTACTTGCACACCTTACCTACCAGTGCAAAGCTGTGCAAGTAGTCATGCAAGCAAGGCAGGTAAATTGTGATTTAAGGGGTAAGTAGAGAGATTCACAGAAGAGTCCTCAGGTTAGAAGGAACCTCAGAAGATCAGGTGGTCCGGACTTTCATGGAGGGGCAAGCCTGGGTGAGGTTGCTGAGGACTCTGTCCTCTCTCATCCTGAACACGGCCACTGATGGGACCTCCACCACATCCAGTGATGGTTCTCACTGTAAAAAAATTGAATAGATGAAACCTCTCTCCATGCATCTTGTATTCATTGCACCCTTATCCTCTCAGTGTGGCTCCCTCTGAAGAGAATTTCTGTCCTCTAAGAACTGGAAAAATGCGATGAGGTCCCATCCTGAGCCTTCTGTTCTCCAGGGTGAAAATATCTAACTCTTACAGTCAACTTGCTCTTTAATAAAACACAGAGCTAGTAAGAAGAAAGTGGTGCTACCACACTTTATATACAAAGAAGTAATATTTTGAAATGCATTTTTCCCTTTATTTGCATAGGGAATTCAACTCCAACACCATTTAAGTGAGAATGAAGTAGGCAGCATTATGGATAGTGGGAGAACATAAGGCAGAAGAAGGCCTGACAGCAACATTTGCTTTGGTGTGTTAATAAGTCTAAAGCTTTCACCTGGAAACAGCAATTTAGCAAAAAGTAATACCAAGTTGGAACTTGTAAACTGCCAGTCAATAAAATCATTCAAATTTTTAATAAATTGAAAATAATTTTCAGTGGAATATTTAAAAGATTCTGGCTTGCTGCAGTAGATCTCCATCAAGAAAATAAACTGGAGATGATAGGTGGATTCTGCTAATTTGTACCAGATTTGAAGTTATTTCAGTGGAGCAGAGCTTGTGCCCAGAATAGCTGTGCACAATGCAATGTACAGTTGCTGTTACATTGTTTGCTACTCAATATGTAGTTAAAAAATGTTTGTTTCAGCCTACAATTCATCTGTAAAATTTTAAGGAACAGAAATTGTCCAAGTTATTTTTAATGGGGAAGTTTTATTCAGGCATAAATATAAGCATGATCTCAACCTGAAACGAAGCAATTAACTGAGTTTACAGAACTGTAAGGGCTTGTGGTTTGGCACTTGGACATGTGTTGTCGAATTGACCATTACAGGGTAAGTGCTGACGCTTCACTGATGTTGCCGATTACTCTTAATGTGGAAAATCTACTCCACATTTTCTACATTGTGCTTTCTTTTTTGAAGTGGTCATTAATGACGTGAAATGCACCAGACTGACCACATCAGATACTGAAGTTCCTTTAATCCATAGTGAGAAAAATAGAACAAAAAGGGTAAATGATTTAAAGGTATCAGCTCAAATTCCCAAGGGTGTAGTCCTGAACTTGGTTCTTGCGCTGATTTCTTCAATGTCCTTTCAGCAAACACTTGATTTCTCTATTCCCTAATAGTCAACATTCTAATAGTAAATCATGCTGTTGTCTCCAAAAGGAGAAGGAACTGTATGAGTTTTCCAGTCTTTTCACAAGGAAATTGCGTTATTCACAAAGACTCATTTCCAGTCATCCCATGAATAATTTTCATCTAGATATCCCAGAAAATGCCTTTAAGCGTAGATAATATATTTAGACATAATCCTTGTGTTCCTTTAAAGTACCTTTATTCCTGAGTGTTGCTTATTTAATTTTCTCATAGCTGCCAACCAGCTGAATTTGGCTGGAGGGACTTCTTTACTGAATGGTTGCTCCAGCAGAGCCACTGCAGCTGCTCCAGAGTGCTTAACCTCTGCATTCACATTGCTTTGCTCCAGCTCATTTAGGCAGCCTGTTGAAGTAGTTTGCTATTGCTCTTGGACATCATTCACTGAAGTAAAAAATATATATGACTAAATCTAAGTTCTATAGTTATAAAAAAAGACTACCTTGATTTTTACACCCTTCTGTGATTTTTCAGTTTCAGTTCTCACCATTTGTATGTAGTTTTTTCACATAACTGGTGTAACTAATTTGTAACTAGATGCCCATCAGCATCCATGTGAACTGTGGTCGCTGAGCCAGTGCAATAAAAAGGGAGGGCTCAGTAGCGCAACATCTGTTTCTGTTTCTTCATTTTCCCTCTTTAGTAAAGTCTCTCTCCAGCAGCTGGTGTGCTAATAATGACCTTGAAAATACACAGTACTTGTTTGAAAGAGTTCGAAGAAAAAATGTGGGGCTTTTATTTGAGTTTATGAAAGTTTATTTGAAAAATTGTTCAGTTCTCAGTTTTATCCTTTCCCCAGTGATATGCAGAAAGCTAGAACAGGAGCCAGACAAGATGTTCTAGACAACTGCCATTTGGGAAACAGCAGCAGAGAGCTGCAAACAAAGGGGAGGTGCTTCCAGAGATTGCTAACAGAGAAAAGAGTCTCTTATGAGAATGAATGAAGAAGAGAATGGAAAGGTCATGTTTATTTTTGCAGTCTTTGCATTAATCAAAACCTGTGGAAGTGAAGCAAGAATAGAATGCTCCACTTTTATTATCTTGACTTAAAAAAAAATAAACAACCCAAAACCCCAATAAAAGTAATTTATACTACCTGCCTACCATACCCCTCATACTGGGAACCCAGGGACATCAAACACTCTCATTTTTCATATGCCTGATAGAAATTCAGGCACATTTTGTTCCGTAGCAAACCTCACAAACCTTCATAAATTCTAGTGTAACAAACTTCCCAACTTTCTTCTACTGGGTTTTTGATCTAAGCTTGTCAGATCCTGTAACATTTCAGTGTAATAATGACTTTAATCTCAGATGAACAAGAAGAAAGTAGAACAAAATTCTGTTTGAGAATGGAAAATGTCAGAATTTACAGACACTCCTTTAATACCAATAATATTAACATTGTAAGACTCATGCAAAAAATGTATGGGTCAGGTTTCCTATAATTACAAGCAGGATAGCGGGTACTTACCTTTGTGTGACAATCA